CAATCACGGTATTCATATTTCATCCCTGCATAATATTCTGTAAATTTATTTTATCAGTAATAATTATATTATATTGGGTTGTTGATGATGTTATTAAATGTACTTGGTCAATTTTTTCATTCATCGAAGAAATATTGAGTGAATATTTATGTGACAGGTATTATTTGTATCTTTATATATCCTCATTTTGAAGGAGAATGAAGAACATTAATATGAGTGATATGAATGAATCTCTAATATCATTATTAGAGTGAAAAAATAAATTTATTGTTTTGTTACTATTAGGACTGTAAGGTTAGTTATGATACAATGAGATTAAATTATTTTTGATAAGATTTTTTTAATAGATATTAGAGATATTTTTTTTTGTAACCAATGATTATTAGTTAATTTAAACTTGAGATAAGATATTGACTAAATGGTATAGTCAATAACTAGGTGATTGAAAATGCAATTAGTCGGATACGAATAATCTTCTTGTTTATAGAGTGGTGATAGAAAAGTTTGATTTATGCGTATGTGGTCATATAGATGATATGATGTTTATGAAAAGTGAGGTCAAGGGTGCTAAAATGAAACAGGAAGAAGATCATCTTGGGGATGATGTGAAACGCTATTTATCGATGACTTTTGAGTTAAGAGATTGGTTTTTGTTTATGGTTAGTGAATAAATATTTATATGTATCTTTTTTGGATTTTTGTGGTTTGTTTGTTCATGTTGTGTTTTGTTGGGGTGATTTTATATTGTATTATGTATGTATTGTCTTATAGTTAGTTGGTTGTGGGTGTTATTTTATTTGTTGTTGTTTATGACTTTTGTGATGCTATATGGATGTTGTGATTTGTGTGGACATGAGGGGTTGTTTACTGTATAATTCTATAATATTTTGTTCGCGTGTGTGTGTGTTTGTATGTTGTAGTATGTATATGGTATTTGATTGTCGGTCTTGTCATGAGAGGTTCTTTGGAGACATTTACTTTATTATCTTTGATGTCTGTGTTGGGTCTTTGTTGTTTGTGTGGTGTCTATTGATTGAGTTTTTCCGGTGTCAGGTGTCCCTATAGTATTAGGTTCTGTCATTAGTATCTATTTTTAGTCGAGCGAGGGTCACGCTGGTATAAGGAAGCGAAAGTGTTATCATATCGAAGCAAAAGTGTAGGTGGCACAACTAGCGAAGAGTTAGAGGTCGGCAATTGAGGTAGAGGGAGATGTGTTTGAGCAGGAATGCTGAAAGGGGTGATTGGGATAAGCGGAAAGCTCTACGTGGTTGAATAGATTTCGCTCTCGTGTGATTTCGAACATTACAATAGATGTTGAGATTCGGGAATGGGGTGTTTAGTAGTTCATTAAAAAGTGAGTGTTTAATTGTCTGACTAAATTTAGGTACTATTATTGTTTTTTTTGGTCTCTCATATCTATATGGGATGATCTTTATTGTTTTATGTGTTTTTTCGTTCTTTATTTTTTTTTTTATTTGTTTGATTTTTATCTATTTTATGATTTTTTTGTATCTATTGTATTTGGTGTATTTTTATATTATATGTTTACAGTGTTTAGTTTTGTGTTTTAAGTATAAGCTTTGTTGAGAAAGATTGATGTGTGTTATTGTATGTTTTTATTTGTATGTTTATGTGTTTTGTGTATTGGTTTTCTCATTATATTTGTTGTTCTTGTTAGTTAATTGTACTATTATTTGTGTGATTTCGTCTTATTATATTATACTTGTGTTTCCTACTTATATTATTTCTATATTTTGCATATTGTTATCTCTCTATTTCTCATCATTTTTATTGTCTTGTTATTCTTAATTATTGTTATTTTCTTTATTTTAACATTATTTTTATTGTTTCTTCTTTTTCTTATATTATCTTATTATTGTTTGATTATCTTGATGCTTATTATTGTTTCTTAGTTCTTATTATGTATTTTATTTTTTTTTTTTTTTTTTTTTTTTTTTTTTTTTTTTTTTATTTTGTTTTTTTTTTTTTTTTGTTTTTCGTTCTTTGTTTTTTTTTTTTTGTGTGTTTTTATATATTATTTGTCTCTTTTTTTTTTATTTTTGTTTGTATTATTATTGGCTAGACCTACATTCAACAACTCTTTAACCCATTATGTCAAGTCCCGCCCAAGGGGTCGCTATTGTTAAAAATTATGCTTTTTTTTTTGTTACTTTTATCGGCGGCTGGATATTTCAGTTGTCTCTCAACAACAAGACTTCCTTGAGACCAGATTTATGGTGATTGGATAGTAATTTGATGTCTTTGATTTTGTCTTACTAGTATGTGGATGTGTGCTAGTTCTGACTGTAAGTTTGGCTTGAAATTTGGAATGGTTCATATGTATTATGAAGTTATATTAGTGTCCTGAACAAGGTTTTATCTATAAACGGAATTGATTATTATGCTTTCGAGGTTTGATGTCGATCAAGGCAGATGATTTTATTGGTGATATAGTTCTAATACTCATAATGCTTACTGAATTGTCTATAGGCAGCGAAATTTGTCAGATAGTATTTTGAACCACACTGCACGAGGTGAGATATTCTCGGTTAAATTTAAGCTTCGCTTGGGGTGACACTTGTAGACTCTTGTGGAACTGCTTGGTTAAAGCCAACTTTTATAATAATAATATATTTTTCAAATTTATTGTCACTTAAAATTATTGTTATTAAGAGAGTTACTGAAGATAATTTAGCAATAGTTTCTTATACTATGAAGAAGTTAGATTAAATCCTCTACCATACTGATTCTAATTTATATTTGTTCTTTTGTCCAAAATAAAAAAATTGGAATAATTATATACTTCAATTTTAAGTTATGACGTTTGATGTCTAGTTTTAAAACTTTATAATGATTAGAAAGTTGTATGTTAGAAGGGAAGAAAATCCATTCACATTATTTGATAGGAATGGATGGTTGATAATAGATACATGCCAAAGTAGAATTGATGGTTCTACTGATGGAAGTAAGTAATGCTTCATGGAAATGATTTACTCATAATCCTTATTCAGAAGTCTATCATAAACCAAGTACGAGGCATGTTATCTCATTTCGCGATTTGGTTATTTTGTTAAAATTTGTGGAGGAGGAGTAGATTAATCTGACATGGATCGCCTAGTAGTTCCGACTCGTCTGTAATGGTGTAATTATCACACTCTAATATTTATTATGTACAGGCAGGTTCCACTGACCAAGCAATAATTCGGTTGAATGCTCAAAGTACTCTTCCTTCCTCTTTACTAATCTAATTTGCT